AAAGGGAACAAGAGGCTGAGGTGTTGTTGGGGCTATGAAGGCAAGGTTTAGAGTTTCAGATCTTATTCTGGAAGTGAATAATATTTGCTTTATTAGATTCCTTTTTTTATTTTCTTTAACTATGAATTTTAGAAATAATGGGAAAATCTAAAAGGAATTACCTGAATCCTCATTCAGTACTATGAAAACAATGCCTAACAAGTCTTCATTTTAGACATCAATTTAGCTACTGAAGTAGGTGCAATAACATTAAAGAAAATGAGATTTGTGAGCTGCAAAGGATTTGAAATGCATATGCTACTGTATTTTGAGCAATATTTTTCTTGAAGATTTAATTTTCAGTTGTTCTTCTGTATATAAAACTGTGTTTTAAATGCTCCAAGAGAGCATTATTAAAAAGAATCTGTTGTAAGAAGACTGTATACATTGCTTGCTATTATGTATGTTTTGATTATGTGCAGTTGACAATACTCCCTTTAAGCAAAACACTATAAAATATCTCTAATATCTATTTACATGGTTTTTTTTCTACCTATAGGCGAACTACAATGTAGTAGAGTTAAAAGAAATCTAAACATAAAATACCTAGGTATTATCTTATCATTAATTCACTGCATGACCCCAACATAATTATAATGTTTTCCTGGGCCTCATTTCTTTGTCTGAATAAAATTATTTAGTCCCTTCCCAATGGTGGGGGTGAGGTACCAGTTTTATGATTACTCATCATCAATTTCCAAATATACAAGCATTTTATGTAACAGATATAGCACAAAGTGGTTTAGAAGAAAATACAACATTCTGTTTATAGATGTTCTTATTAATATACTTATCAAGTTTTATATAGGAAGAACATCAGATTAACAATGTGGATATAGATAAAAGTTAAAATTAATAGGGATAATGTAAAGAATGAGATGACTTAGAGTTTTAAATTATGTCTATATGCAGATCTGACAACATAATTTTTGTATATTATTAAAGTCTAGAGATACATGTTTTCATTTGTTCCTATGTATTTTTCTTTAGTAAATTTTACAATTTACTTATTTGCAAAAGCATTTACCTAAACATCTCTTGATGGTTCAGTATATTTTTTATGGTTCTTTTTGACATAGATTAACACAGAACTATTTTTCTCTCATTTGCAAGCTCATAAAGAAATTTACTTTTTATTAGGAAACTGTACTACTACATTTTTGGTAGTTGTTAAATTAACAAACACATTTAAATTATTGCCAGGTAATAACTTAAGAATTGGTAAAATATAGTTTAATGGACAATAGTCTTTCATGACTTGGTATCCTCAGTTATTTGAATCAAATTTTCATTGTTCTTAAATTTAAAAATACATCTTCTAATCACAATTAGCTATAGAGTTAATGGGTAAATAGTCATTTTACAGTCAATATGAAAAAGACCCCTGCTTGTGAATTAATATATTTCTACAATTATTAACATAAAATATAAATCTACAGCAGTTAATGTAGTAACTAACAGTAACTAAAATCTGACCCTTAAGTTTGCTGTCCTTCTGTGTCAACCCTTATTTAAGGGTGTTCTGACAAAGGATGGATGGTATTCCTCCAGATGCTTCTTGGAAAATAAGGTTTTATGAACAAATGTTGGGGAAATGTTAGATTCTACAAACTGAAGCAAGTTGCATTACTTTTGTTTCAGCATCACTTGGTCAGAGAATTCTTAATTTGGGCACTGAACTCATTTTTTTATGTGATATGGGACTAGGGCTATTGCACAGGATATATTTTGGTAAATACAATTCTGCTTAAAAACGTTTTTCATAAAAAAAATTAAAACAGACCAAGAATCATAGCCCACCTGACCTCTGCTGCTCTGAGAAGAAGATGGGGACTGCAGGGCCAGATGTGTTTCTGGGAAAGGAAGAGCTGGCACTGCCACAAGTCTCCCCCACATTTACTCTTAGAGCACTCTTCCTTTATTATTTAAAAGTGTGAAGGGAAAATACAAATTGAAGTAAAAAAAAGAAAACTTGAAAAGGTATTTTCTAGATAAACTAGTGAAAATAAAATTATAGTTGTTATGTAAGGTTTATTATATGATGGGCTTGAATAGAAGCTAGTTGAAAATCAGAATAATTGCCCTTTTCTTATGAAGTCAGTCTGGAGGGTGAAGTGCAGAGACTGCTTTTCTTCTATGTGAATTACTTGTTTTTTTTAAAGAAAAAAATATATCAACATAAGGATATCCCTTAGAGTTTTCAATACAAATGTCTCCAAAAGGGTTATAGCTGCCAGTTTTTCCCCCAATGTATTACATAATCTTTGTGTAATTTATAAATGATAACAAAGCAATCAGGCCACATTCATAAAAGCCCAGTGACACATAATTTAGTTGAATCTGAGGATTAGAATTAATTGTCTCTCTTTGTTCCAAGTTCTAAATCTTAGTAAATGATTCACTGCATGTCATTACAGCTTAATATTGGCATGAAATCACAGTTTAGCTGGCATAATTTAACAGCAATTAAAGAGCTATTTAATCGTCATGCAAATTGGTATGAAGGCCCTTGAGTAAGAAGGGTGTCTGCCTTTTTGTGAAAGTATCTCCAGGCGGACAGTAATATACTTGCAGACACCCATAGCATAATTGATAACATTCTTCCTATTCGTAAGAATATAAATGAATAATAATTCATGTTTTCCATTATAAATAAGAGAAAATGGCAACAATATGAATATGTCATTCTGTAGGAAGATATTATTATGATAATGATAATGAATCTTTATCTCCCAGTCATAAGTCTAGGTTGGAGGTAAAAAGCTACACTTGTCCCTGTGCTCTAGTTTGTAATCCCTTCCATATTGTCCTTTCTGAAGGCAGATGTTTCTGTAACTCTAGGACACAAAATGCCATAAAGCAAGTTATGTAGAAGCCTTTTAGAAAAACCATCCTGTTCTAAGTCTAGCTTTAGGTGATATACATACAAGCGGCTGAGGCCCCTACCCATCAGATTGCTGGTATCAGGACACAGCAAAAAGAAGAAGGAAATATTTAATAACACTTCTTAATATCTCAAACCTTATGCACAGTCATATAGATTTATGACTAATGTTATGCTACTCTAACACCATATAATAGATCTCACTACTTTGTACTATGTACTTACTAAGCTCATTCCCTACACTGCAGTCAGAATGTTTTTCTTAAAACATATTACTTCCATACATAAAATCTGTTTCTTCCTGTTGATCACAAAAAAATAACCAGACTCAGAAAAATAACCAGTGAGGCTAGCAATTTTGCATTATCTCATCTCTTCTTGTTCCTTAAAACTCATTTCTTGCTTTTACCTTTTGCGTTTAGGCAAAGTGATTTTCTGCCAGTTCCATGACTATTTTAAAATCTTTCTTGACTGAAGAACCTCTGCCCCTAATATTCTTGCCACTCCTGTACACATCCTCTTTACCACCTCCATGGGACTTTCTCAGAATTCCTCAGATTGAACCACCTGATAGTTTTTTATCTCAGCTCCGTTCCTTCTGATTTCCATAATTGCACTTACTATAATTTGAATTTTATTCATCTGTGTGTTATCAATACCTTTGATTAAAATGTAAACAACAAGAAAGCAGGAATAACATCTATTATATTCACTCTGTAAATCCAGGTCTATGAAGTATCTGGCACAATTAGTTATCACTAAATATATACACATATATATATATATATATTTAATGAATGAATGACTGTATCTTGAAATCCAGATGGAGACTATATCACAACTCGAATTTCTTTCTATCAATAGAATGTCAGAGTATTCCTTCCCACCTTCTAAGCAAATTATCTTGATGGAAGAAATTTAAATAATTGTTTTAGATTTCTTAAAACTGACACTTCCAAAATACCAAAGGAATGCTATATTGTTTTTATGCATTATTTTTATGGATTATTTTTCAAAATATCTATCATAAACAAAGTCTAAAAAAGGATTCTGTAGTATTTCACATATAAAACTTGGCCTAGTATCTCCACCTGGTAAAGATACTGTTCAGTTAATACTTGTTCAATGAATGATAGGAAATTGAGGTTTGAAGGACTCAGATAAGTATAAAAGATTATGATACAATTTTAAGAAGAGGCTAGAATAGTTGAAGGATATTAAATACTCTATGTATTGTTATCCCTATGAAAAAATAGTGAGAAAAAATGCCAAGGAAAGATGCTCATGCACTCTTGGAACCAACTTTGTTAATGCAGTCTTGATGACAAATAAGGATTATAAGCTTCTAAAAAATGCATTTACTTGTGTTTAGTAAAGTTAATCCAAATGAAACTCTAATCACCATATCTTACGTATCACCCCTTTTATCTCTTCCCTATGATGCTTTTATGCTATGGAATTGGCAAAGCTCTAGTAAAATCTTTAATGCCACTTCCAACTTCTCTTTCTCTTCCTCTTCTCCCAAACTTTTGATCCATCCAAATTTATTGTCATTTATTCTCAGCCTGTGAGAAATGGATCCTAGGGATTGTCAAAGATGATGAATGGGAGTTTCATCTACATATGAAGTATATAGTAAAGACTGGAAGACTAAACATGATATGTTTTGTATATGTATATTACTATTTTTATTTAAATTCTAAAAATGGTGATATAATTGTTAATAATGTATTTAAAACCATCACATATTTAATATAATGTTTGGTTAGTATATATATATTTAAGTCAAGTTCTTAAAGTATAATTGCCATATCTTTTAGAGATCTGCAGCTTTTGATATTAAATACCAAAATTCATATGCCAAAAAATTAAGATATAGACCATTTCACCTCTAAGACATCTTTTATACTAGGTTTAATAAGATTTTTTTAACCATATTTCTTCTTGGTTCCTGTCAGAAGGGAGAGCTCAGACTAATATAAAAGACCAACAAATGTTTGTTGATGAAGTTTTCAAGTTAGCACCATAATTCATTGTCCTATACGTGTACATTTGTCTTTTAATTGCTTTTCTCTAGGGCCACCTTCAGCTCCTAGGAATGTGGTTTTTAACATCAATGAAACAGCCCTTATATTGGAATGGAGCCCACCAAGTGACACAGGAGGGAGAAAAGATCTCACATACAGTGTAATCTGTAAGAAATGTGGCTTAGACACTGGAGCCCACCAAGTGACACAGGAGGGAGAAAAGATCTCACATACAGTGTAATCTGTAAGAAATGTGGCTTAGACACCAGCCAGTGTGAGGACTGTGGTGGAGGACTCCGCTTCATCCCAAGACATACTGGCCTGATCAACAATTCCGTGATAGTTCTTGACTTTGTGTCTCACGTGAATTACACCTTTGAAATAGAAGCCATGAATGGAGTTTCTGAGTTGAGTTTTTCTCCCAAGCCATTCACAGCTGTTACAGTGACCACGGATCAAGATGGTAAGTTCCACTGCTGTCTCTCAGAGCAGACCCATAATTCCCTTTTGGTGGACCTATATTTGCTAGGGTGTAGTTGTTTACTCTCCACTACAGAAGTGATTTTTTGGTTGCTATTTTTGTTTCCCAAGGTGCAGAAAGATACTTTTGATATTACTTCTTAGTAGTATGGTTAGATATAGTGCTTATCTCTAATGTTTATGCATTTATGTTTTTGGTATAATCCTATACCAACATATCTTGATAAGCAAGTCTTTATTACTTAATAGCAGACATAAAACGTGTTGCTAAATGAATTGAAATTCAGTTGCCCCACTTATGCTGCCATATCGTTTCCATATCAAAGAGAGAAACTATTATTTATATTAATTATAACTCATATCTATATTATAAAAACATTGCAGCTAAAATGTTTAACCATGTTCCACTCTGAAAAGAAATAGCAAAAATATCCAGGCATGTATCCAATATTTTTTTAAGTGCAGTTTGTAAAAAGTAGTTAAACTCTCTTCTTTAAAAAGTCCAATTCAGTTAAATGCTCTCTAAAACAGTATAGATTTTTACTGCAACACAGTTAGGCATGAATACCCCTATGATTTTTATGTGTATATTCTTTTTAATTCCCCATGACATAATTTATTGTAGAGCTCTGTACAGGAAAAGCTTCAGAGATTTTTAAAACTCCTTTTGAGGAGCATTCATAAATTACGTGGCTACACCAACACATGTCTTATAGCAGAAAGTATTGTTGTATATGAACATATACGTATAAAACAGATTTATAAAGATAAAACCATTCTTATACACTATATTTGTTTGCTAGTTCTACTATAACAAATGCCATAGACTAGGTGGCTTAAACAATTTATTTTCCCACATTCTGGAGGCTTAGAAGTCAAGATTAAGGTGTCAGCATGTTTGATTTCATTCTGAAACCTCTCTTCTTGGCTTGTAGAAAGTCATTCCTCTGTGTGTTCATGTCCTAATCTCTTCTTGTTATAAGGACACCATTATACTGGATTAAAGCCCACCCATATGATCTCATTTTACTTTAATTACCTCTTTGAAGGCCCTGTCTTCAATCTGAGGTACTGAGCTTAGGGCTTCAACATATGAATTGGGGTGGGGAGTGCAATTCGGCTCATATCATACACTAGGGTAGCATAGGGTGATATTTAAAATAAAAGTATATTGCAAATGTTGGAATACTATTCAGCAATAAAAAGAAACACTATTGATACATATTACTTGGATTAACTTTAAGCTCACTGTGTTGAGTGAATAAGCATTCTCAAAAGGATGCATACTGTATTATTAATTTACATAACATTCTTGAAATAACATAATTATAGACATGGAGAATAGATTACTGGAGACCAGGTGTTAGAGATTAGGGCAAAAGGGATGTGGTTATGAAGGGGTAGTTGGAAGGCGCCTTGTGTTGACGATACAATTATATATCTTGATCATGGTGGTAGTTACATGAAGCTACATATGTGATAAATTACATAGAGCTATACACATGCACATACACATAAATACATACACTGGAGCTGCATGGATTTTTAACAATGTCAGTTTCCAGGCTTTAATGTTGTACTATAGTTTTACAAGCAGTTAACATTTGGGGAGACTGGATAAAGACTGTATGGGACCTCAGTATACATTTTTTTGGCAAATTTCTGTGCTTCTCTAATTATTGCAAAATAAAAATTTTATTTGCATTGCTAAATCTATACAAATATACAGGAAGAAAACTTCAATATTCTACTGAAAATATATTTGAAATGCATGTAGCTATTTCATTCAAAATACTATATATTAGTTCACTTTGTTGATAATTTTCAGAAATACATCAAATAAATAAAGCAAAGCCTGATAGTACTGTATAACCACTATCTTTGTATTTACTATGCAGTTTTCCCCTTCATTTATCAAACAGCTCCACATCATAGAATTTGCTTTATGGCTGTTCAAAATGGAATTCCTATTTCTTCTTTCCCATAGTATCAACAAAATCTTGTCCAGTGTAATTGCAGGATAAAGCAGAATAGTATCTTCTCTTCCACTCTGCTTTAGCAGATTATTTCTAAGACTGTTTTGCTGCCACCTAATCAAAAAATACAAATGAGTCCTACAACCTTTATTAATTATAAGGTAGAAATAATTAAATTTGAGGATAACAATAATATATCACTTTAAAATATATATATATGTAAATATGTTTGCATAATTCCATGCATAATACATACAGCAGCCTTCCATTCTAGGATTAGAAGAGAGTTCATTTTGTCTACTTTTCTATTTAGTGGAAGGACAGAATATAAATTATTTCTCACTTTTAAAGTAAGAGAATTAATTAAAACTGTATTGCTCTAAGGACAAAAGGTATATTAAGCACAAAATGAGATATAGTATCCATACAATAATACTATACTTTCTGGAAAGATTATACCATTAAATAATCCCCCCCAATAAATTTATCTTTATTGAAGAATCTTAAGAAATAATTTTAATGTAATTCAACTTTGTTTTAGATATAAATAATAATAAAAATAAAAAATATATTTAAATTTTATTGAAAAGTACATAAAGGTCCTAAACTAAACTAAAATATTGCTATAGAATGCTTAGTACAATATTGTAAGCAACCTTAATGCGTGAAAGTCTCCATGTCATAACTTAGAAAGACACCAAGAAGACCCTTTCTCCTTGTGCCTGAAATTCTGATCTCAGAGAATCACATTAAAAAATGCAAATACTTCTGTCAAGTGTCACATTATGAAATAAGTCAGTCTATGGATGCATCCATTACTCTTTCACATCAAAAGTGGTCAGAACCTAGCATTGGGTAAAAAGGAGCTAAGAGAAACCAAGTGTGCCAGAATCAAACTTCAGCTGTCAACATTTTGTTCTATCCTTAATGAGATAATTGTTTCCCTATTACAAATGGAAGAAGGGATTTCCCATCATCTTAGTTGGTTATCATTGGAAATTTTGTTTGAAGCAACTTGAAAGCAATTTCCAAAGTTACCTGATAACACAGTACAATTTAACTGGACCCAGTGGACCGCAGTGAATTATTTGTCTCATTATCTGTAGGTTATGTATCATTGTTTTTATGCTAAAATGAAAAAGTGATAATGTGCTAATCATAAACCTTTAATTTATTCAACATATATACAATAATGAGTGAGCCCTATGAACCTTATACTTTTGAGGGTAGTCAAATAATAAACAATCTGACACATATGTAATTACTATGTGGTAAATCACCACAAGGGAAGTACAGGTTGCTCTGAGAGGTGTTCCTGAGGAAGCGGAATTTAAATTAAGTTCTGTTCTGAAAGATGAGTAGAATGTGCCTCAGCAAAATGAGGGAGAAGGGAAAGAATTCTGAATAGAAGTAATCAAAGGTTGAACAAATGAAGGATTAAGTACTGATGACTAACAAATCAAGCACAGTAAGAAAATAATAAAACTGTTTATGAGGCAATACTTGTATAAGTAAGGGAAAAATATTAGAGATTAAAAAATATAAACAGTTGTGTTATGTTTCTGCTACTCCCTATGTACAGTGTGGATTATAAGAATAAAGAGGATGTTTGTATTGAATTGCATTTTCTCATGTAGTGGACTATATGTGTATATCTTTCCTCATATTTAAGAAATATGAAGGAAACCATATTAAGCAATCCTGACTTAATTGTTTATCTGTTTACAATTAAACAAATAAGAAAAAACAATTTACAAATTATTTAGAACCACTTAGCTGTAGTTAGCAAAAACATTCCTTGATTATTCTGATTCTAGTTGTATAAATAAGAATATAGATTTAAGACTATGACTCTCATAATCAGGAATCTTTGCAATAAAGCATAATTAACTGACTTGTATAATCCCAGAAAGCTATATTTGCAACCTTCTATTTTCATAGTTTATTTAAATGGCCTTTAAAAGTATTTCATTTAGAGAGTAAAACAAGAAAGCAATACTTGTAAAACATTGGATTTTAATCTTCAGTGCAAGATAGGAAAACTAGGATGTGTAGTTCAATAAGAGGAGTTATTCAGGTCATACACAGTAAAGGAAAATGTTAACCATGGATAGTCAACCAGAAACAAACTTTGTAGATATCTTGACAGGCACAAAAACCTTTAGGGGACATGTTCAAAGTGAAAGCATGCTAAATTACAAACCAATTCTGCTGATATTTGCTAATGGGTCTCTAAAGCAATTATTGTCAGAAGCAGGTTGTCCAATTCATTGGCTTTTAAAATACACATTGTATACTCCTGTCTTTGCCATTGGGTAACTATTCTGCATAGGTATTGCCTTAGACTGACATTTTGATTGGAGATTTCATGTCTTGCCCAAACAGCAGTAATTAATTGAACTGAAATAGATTTAAATCAACAAAAGTCTCCATTTACTTATAAGCTTGAGATGTCTGCTTGATTTACAGTTCACTGTTTTGGAAATACAGTTTGTTTCAAATGTCAACCATTTATACATTGCTGGAGTAGGTAATTAGGGACACTCTAAACATTCATTTGTCTTTATATCTGTATTTTAATATATTTATGTATTTATGTCTCTCACAATCCTCATTGTGTTCTCAAAATTCTTGACAGCAAGTATCTTTTTCTTCTAAAATCTGTGCAAGTCTATTCAAAGCAAAAAAAGTCAGCATAGAAGTTTTAAATGCTTACTAAAAATACACTTAAGCACAACCAGTGGCATAACAAGTACTTTTTTAAAGGAAGTAAACATAGTTTAAACCAACAGAAATGCTGTACCACTTGTATTTTTTGTATTTCTTCAACAATAGAAAATTACACATTAAAAAGCTACAGACACCTTATATTGAAGGATAAAATTTCCTATCTCCTAAGGTAAAGCATTTGTCTTCTGAAAAGTACATGGAATATTTTATTTATGGAAGATAATTTAAATGTCAGTCTGGTTAATCATAACTAAATAACTTTTTGTTCCAGTCAGAT